TAACACCTAACCTAACTGTAGTTTCAACCTCTCCTAGAAAGGTAGTCTTCAGCAGTCAGGCAGAGAGATTCTGGTCAGCACCCAAGAGGCAATCTGTCACGTGGGTCCTCTCCATCCACCCCGACCCCCACCTCCATCCATCCAAGGGAAGATGAAATACTCTGCAGAATGAGACCCCTGCCCTCTCCCCTAAGGGAAAGTGCCCTTGCCAGGACTGATCCTTTCTTTTGCTAATAACCTCTTTGTCCCACCCTTCTTCCTATAAAAACCTTCCATTTGGTACAACTCCTCCGGGGAGCTCCCTTCCATTTGCAAGATGGGATGCTGCCTGATTCTTGAATCACTTAATGAAGCCACTTAGATCTTCAAATTTGCTCAGGTGAATTTTTTGTTCTTCAACACTAGTCTATTGCTTCTTTCATTTTAAAAAAAGAAGGGCGCCTGGGTGGCTCATTTGGCTAAGCATCTGCCTTCGGCTCAGGTCATGATCCCAGGGTCCTGGGAACAAGTCAGAATTGGGCCCCCTGCTCAGTGGGGAGCCTGCTTCTCCCTCTCCCGCTCTCCCTCCCCCCTGCTTGTACTCTCCCTCTCTGTCTCAAATAAATAAATAAAATATTTTTAAAAAGAAAAAAGAAAACATTTGCTTCTTTCAATGTTTTTAAAATTTAACTTGTGTGACTTTTTAATTTGTAATAGATTTATTTAAAAAAAAAAAACCAGCAACCTCAACAATGCAGAAGTGTAACAAGTAAAACTATCACCTTGTTTCTTGGGACACTGTTATCACAGTTTTTACTTCCTACTGCCCTAGCTAATCCCTCCTCCAGGTCTGAGTTCCTCCCTCCCCTCTTCCTGCCTTAGGTTCCCCAGGACAGCCCTTCATCTATGGAGCTGCAAGACCACAGCCCATTGTTTCTTCAGACTGAAAGATGGAGAACGTTCATGGGGGAGGAAGAAGTGAAACAGAGAAGAGGAGAGCAAAAGCAGAACCAGTGAGTGGGAGGAGGGTGGTTGGCAGCCTAGAAGTGGGACAATGAATAAAGTGTCCGTCCTGGATGTCTGGCTCTGATGATGCCCCAAACTCTTCCCTTCATTGAGTGTCCTTGGCTCTTGGTCTTGGCTCTTGGGCTCTTTTAGGAGCTCTGAGGCCCAGAAGCTTCTTTAGAGGGCCTATCGATGAAACACTGAGCACCATGGGAACTTAGAATGAAGACTCATTGTCATGCACTATGGCTGTCCCTGCCCTGGGCTGTGAACTTGGACCCCTCCTGGTGGGCTCACTTCCCAGAGGCCAGTGCTATGTATATAATCACTTCCCCTTGTCCCCAAAGCCATCAAGCCACTGACTTATAGACAATCTACCCATTGTCATATTTATCTGAATCCCTCGAATTATATCTTTGTTGCTCTTCTGGGAATTTCTTGATCTTCTTGAGGGAGTCCCTCAAGAAACCTGACTCCCTGTTTTAAATCGCTGGTATTCCCAGGTTTCATGACATCTTGAAACTTGTCTTAGGATGTTGTCAATGCGGGGGCGCCTGGATGGCTCAGTCAGTGGAGCGTCTGACTCTTGGTTTCAGCTCAGGTCATGATCTCAGGGTCATGAGCCTGAGCCCCGCATTGGGCTCCACGCTTAGCACAGAGTCTGCTTAAGACTCTCCCTCCCTCTTGCTTGCTCTCTCTGCCTCTAAAATAAATAAATCTGAAAAAAAAAAGATGTTGTTGATGTAAAAATTATTAAGATCATGTAGAAATGTAGGAAAGTGCTATGATCCAATGCTAGGTTTTTATTAAAAAGGTGTGTACACAATATGGTATATTTACTTGATAGTAACTAGATAAATATTTTTTTGTTGTCATGGACAAGAACTTGAGAATGGAACGTGCAAGAAGTTGTCAGCTAGGATGGATTAGTGGGCAATTTTTTTTCCTTTTATGAATTCCCTCTAAATAATTTTGTTTATAAAAATCATTTGGCCAAGATGTTTCCCTGTTCTAGTTCAATGTTGAGAGTTCTGTTTCCAGTCTTGGCGGGGCCTGCTTTGTCCAGCATCAGACTCTGTTGAATCTTCACAGAATCAACATGTTGCTCACGCCCCAGATGGAAGACAACGGAGTTATCTTTGACTTCCCTGAGCTTCCCCTTTAGTCTGGACAATGGCTACAAGTTAGCACTGTTCCTTCCACAACTTTTCTCTGCCTTCTTTCCCATTTCCCTTCTGCGGGCAGCTAGTTATAGACCTATTGTGATGGCATTTCTTTTATTCACGACCTCTCAATTGATTTCTTTCTTTTGAATTGTGTTAACATGGTTTTTCTCTCAGAGGTGTAATGACCTCCAAGATGCTTCTTATCACAGATCAGATGCCTTCACTATAAACAAACAACTCTACAGTTACAAGCGGTATACTTTGTAATTACGGCGTATGGAGTCCTCCCTAAATATCTCAAACGAGTCTTACAAATTCTCACTGGAATGAAATGGCACAGTCTCTGTCATAAAAATGGAATGACTGAGGTATCTGAGGTATTTCCCTTTCCTGTGCCCACCCCCCCAAGGGAAACAGAATTTGAAGGAAGAGCCCACGTTTCTGGGTTCTAATTTTCTAATTCTCTGAACATCCTTTAAGGACTTTCTCTGTCTCTTGCCATCATTTCTACCATCCATGAAATCCTGTTGAGTAGAGAAAACACAGATATGTCTATCAAAAACAACTTTTGCAAGGGCCCCTGGGTGGCTTGGTCAGTTAAGGGTCTGACGCTTGGTTTCGGCTCAGGTCGTGATCTCGGGGGTCAGGGGATCGAGCCCTGAGTTGGGCTCCATCTCAGTGGGGAGTCTGCTTGTCCCTCTCTCCCCCTCTGCCCCTCCCTCTGTTCTCTCTCTTTCTCAAATAAATAAATAAATAAAATCTTTGGAAAGAAACTAACTTTTGCGTATCAGTGTTAAAAACTGAAATGCAGATGTAAGTAATCTAGTTATAATTTATTCCACTGCACGGGGCGCCTGGGTGGCTCAGTTGGTTAAGCGACTGCCTTCAGCTCAGGTCATCATGATCCCAGGGTCTTGGGATCGAGCCCCGCATCAGGCTCCCTGCTCGGCGGGAAGCCTGCTTCTCCCTCTCCCACTCCCCCTGCTTGTGTTCCCTCTCTCACTGTGTCTCTCTCTGTCAAATAAATAAATAAAATCTTTAAAAAAAATAACTTACTCCACTGCAAAGTGAACCTCAAATGCTTTTTTTCCCCCTAACTCACCCTTTTATTATAACAGAGTGTAACTTCAGGAACAGATGGAAGAACGGCACAGGGTGAGGTCTGTGATAGGGGCGCCATGCCTCTCCAGGGCCCACTGTCCCCACATCTCCGTGCGCTCGCCAACCCATAAGTTCTCCAAACCCCGTCCCTTTGGTTGTTTTTTTTATGGAGGCTTCATTACCCGGGCATGATTGATGAAATCATTGGTGATTGGTGATTGATTCAACCTCTAGCCCCTCTCCTCTCCCCTAAGCCCCAAACTCTTAATGTCAAGGATGGGGGATGGGGTAGGCATAAAGAAGCTAGCTCCTTAGGTAAGACTTCTTTACTCTGTGCGCTCAGCACGCCGCCTCTCCCTGGGGGACTCTCTCCAGTTCACCGGCTGCGCTGTCCTGGATGAGAGAACTGTGAAGGCTTGGCTGCCTATCCACTCTCCTGGCCACTGGGGACACTTGAGCCCTTTTTCCGGGCTTGAGAGGGAGCTGGATCCTTGCCAGGGCTGGCCTCTGGCCAGAGAAGCAACTCAATTTGAAGGGTCTGTAAGGAAGCTCCCTGGCCCCCACCTATCCATGCCATGAAACCAGCAATGTTAACTGCACCAGGGTCCCAGCCTACTGAGCTCTCCGTCAGACACTGGGGCCGAAAGAAGGTGGGTCGCTCGCCAGTTTTCCTCGAAAGGAACGGCAATGAAGGATCAGGTTATCGATTCCTGCAATGGTACAGAACAAGAGTATCTAAGCAAAGGGAAATCACCAGCTTATTCTAATAGCATGCGGTATCTCTGAGGCTCAGGAATACCTCCCAGCTCCAAGATTCTAGTGATCAGGCATTTCCTGTCGTAAAGTAATTCTGAGTCTACTTGATTAAAAGGCATTATTGCCTCCATAGGAAGACTGGTTTGTTAGGACAAAAGTGACATTCTTTGAAAGGCCGATGTGTAGAATTAGGGGAAAAGAAATGTCTGAAGTCATCATTCATTCTTCTCTTAGGGTTCATGAAAGCTGGTGTGGTTGCCCAAACAAGGGAAGTTGGTGGGGTTGCCTAAACTAGAAACTATGGGTGAAACCGTCCCCCTTCAGCCATTTGAGGCGTTCCTACAGCAGAGAACTACCATTAATACCGTGCTCATTATGTGCCCCTGGGCTAAGTTCTTTACAGGCCAAGCTTGTTATATTTATTCCTCCCTATTGCTCTTTGGGGGGTATACTTACTCTATGGCCCTCATCTCTTTAAAAAGGAAAATAGGAAATTGAAACTCAGGTTAAGCGACTTGCCCAATTTACCATGAGTAGTGAGTGGTGGAGCTGACTTTCAAAACCCAGGTTCATGCGATGCCAAACTCCTTCCCCTTTGTCACTGGGCCTCCCTAACCCCGGGCAGAAACTGTCAGAATTGGTATCAGGAGTCCTCACTTTAGGTTGGCACCGTGCACTTGCTGGGATGTGCTCTATGACTGTCCTTTGGTTTGAAAGACAGGGGTGAGAGAGGGCAGTGTTTCACACTGAGAACAAGAACAGGATCCAGACCAAAGCCCTGAGGTTAGGGAAGAGTGGATCCAAGCAGCAGGGGTAAAAGGAGATATGAGAAAACTCACACTATTGTAGCCTAATTATGTCCCTTAAACAGTCTCTTGTCAGCTGACCATGGTTTTCAGAACAGTTTACCTGGAAAGAGGAACCATATTGTACCAACACTTATTTTCACTTAAAATGCTAACTTAACTTAGTCCCTGTGCATAGATTTTTAAATTATTGTCATTTTTTTATTAATCACGAAGAGGGCTTTATAAAAATCCTGATGATGAGCCACGATTCCCCACTTGACAGAAGCAATCGCTATAGGAGTCGGTGGACAAGTAGTTGGACCAGAGTCACAAGTTGCCATGGTAACCGGTGGCACGGGCTGAAGCGGATCTTACAGTCAGTCCCTTGCTGGAACCCAGTTTTCGTTTTCTTCTTAGTAAACCGAGGCTGAGATCAAAACAACCTTTGTTTCGAGCCCTCTCTCGGGAATATCTTGTGTATGTCAAGTACTTTGATTTGATTTTCCAAAGCACTTCCACATCTACGGTCTCATCCCACACTCACAACCCAGCGTGGGGTTAGACCATCTTAGTTTGACTTAGGGATCCAGAAGCCGAGGCCGATGCAGGCCAGGAGATTTGCTATAGGCCTAGAGCTTGTTCCTGGCAGAGCTGAGTTCAGCATTCTTTCCTGCGGGTCACTCTGCCCTCCAGCTGATCCTGCCTGAAAGTGAGCAGGGTAGCCAGGGTTCACACACAGGCTATGACTCCAGGCCACGGCTTCACAAGCAAAGCAGCGGATGTGGATAAAGCTACAAAAGCGACTATATTTTCAAAGACCTAGACATTTGCACTAGGATCAAAGGGTCCATGCGAGACCTCAGTCACTACCCAGTCAGAGGAAATCCCTTGGCTTTTTCCTTCCTTCTTCCTCTCCTTCCCTTTCCTTCCTTCCTTCCCTCCCTCCCTCCCTCCTTCCCTCCCTCTCTCTCTCTCCCCCTCTGCTTTCCTCCATACCCCCCTTTCCTTGGTCAAAGCAGAGCTCACTGATATAACAAGGAACTATGTAGTCGGGCTCATATTCTCATTGGCCGGAGAACTGTGTCGAATCAGAACTCTGTGGTCTCAGGTTCCTTGTCCCACATTTTGGCAGATGTGCTGGGCATTGATCAGAGAGAGGGGCTCTCAGTCACCCCATGGGGACTGGGGGGGAGGACACAGCCATGTCCCATGCTGAGCATTATTTCATTGCCAGAACTGGCACACTGTGCCCCTCATCAACAAATAAATGATCATAACATATAGAAAACTGGAGAATCCTCATCTCAGCAGGATCCAGAAGGAGAACATCCCCATCTAAAGAATTTGCTAGGATAGCCGTGAAAAGGGCCCCTCCTGGCCTGTGGAGACAGAGAATCATCTGGTTGAGGATTCAGTCTCTGCCACTCAAAAAGCCTCACTCAAGGAAAGGATTTAGCTTTTTCAAGCCTCAGATTCATGATCTGTAAAATGGCAAACCTAACACCCACCCCACAGGTTGTTGTAAGAATAAAGTGCCATGCACAGTGTCAGGCAAACAGTAGGTACTCAATAAATGTTAGTTCTCCTCCTACCAGTCCTTTCTTTAGCCATAAAAAGGTGCGTTCCCAATTGAGTGACGCTGTTTGAAGGGTTAACTCTTAACCCTGAGAAATCAAAGTCTCTACACTAACACCATTATGCCCAACAGGCCAATGATTAGGGCGTGTATGGGCCAGCGGGGCCGGCTTTGAGAAAGAGGAGCCCGGTATTAGCTGTGCATTTCAATGGTTTTATGAAGTCACAGAATCTAATTCTTACATGGGTGATGCCTACCCTCACTGCCCCAGGACCAAGTGGATCCCTTCTGGTTATACACCAACCTTGCATCACACTTAATCCAGTCTTAATTATACGGTTGTTCATGAGACCGTTTTACATACACACTCTCCAAGAGCCAGGACGAAGCCTAGCACAGTGCCTGGCACACAGAGGGTGAATGAATGAACAGAAAAGTTTCCACTTGCCTTATCTCATTCCATCCAGATCTCAATTCTGTTAGCGACTCAGGGGCTGGGATGAGAACCTGCACTGTATGGATGAGGAAACTGAAGTTTCAAGAGGTTGTACCACTGTCAAGGCCATTCAGTAAGTAGTGGTGGGGCAGGCACTTCGGCCCAGACCTCCGGACACCAAATCTCGGGCTCCTTTCCTCCACACTCCTCTGCCCTTTGACTCACCAGCCTCGCCCTCTTGTTGATTCTGACAGGGTGACACCGTACAAGAGCTCCTCTCCCTGGAACCTTCTGTCTGGGCATGTCATTTGGTGGCCAGTTGCCACATTGTGAGCGCTGAAGGTCCCTTTTCCACCTTAACCCATTGAGTAATGGCTTAGTTACTGGCTGGCGAGCACCCCATCTGATGACAGCCAAGCGAGTCCAGACATGTCCAGTTACGCAGGCCTCAGGAAGCCTCTGGCAGGAAAGATTCCCAGAGTTGGGAACTTAACCTGGTTAGTTTTGTGCTGTTTTTTTGAGGGGCCAAGGGGTGCTTGACATTTGGCTTCAGTACTTTAGAAGGTTGGTCCTTCCATCCATTCCTGTTTGCTTTTCCACCCTTCTAATCCCCTAAAATTAAAAAAAAAAAAAAATCACTCAAAGTACTTAGGGCAATTGAATCTCAGTTTATAACCTCAATAATCTTTTAATTGCTATCCGTTCTTTACTAATTAACCACATCTCTGACCCAGACAAGCAGTAAACATCCCAACCCTCTCCTATATCTCCACCACACCCAGTTCACAATCTTGCCTTATTGGTCTATTAAATCCATCCCTTTTTTTAACCGCCCCTCCCCCCCATCTCTGGGGATCCTTGGAGAACACTTAGACACGCATGTTCCAGGACAAATTGAACTTAATATTTAGCCAGACATAATGGGAAAACACCTGAACTGAGAGTAACCAAATGTGTGTATGTGGCCCAGTTTCCCTGTATCTAGTCGTGAGCTGTGGGATGAGTGATTTCATCTGCATGGGTTCAGTCTGTGCATCTCCGAAGCCGCAGGGGCTCTTCCCTACCTCTTGTGTCCTTCGAGTACATTTCATCTTCTAAAGCCCTTGATGACAAATCAGAGACAGGGGCTCTTAAGAGAGCCCCAAGTGAACTGCTCACTCACTGCTCTGGAGCTTATTCAAGGTTCTTTATCAAGAGTTGCAGGCAGAAAAGGTCATCCTTAAGCCTGCTGTGGCCTGGAAGTGCTGGTGACAAGATTGTCTTTGTAACTACTTCCTTAAAAAGACTTCAGAGCTCTTTATTAATGCAAACAATTGCTGAGATAGGGACAGAACAGTAGCATCCCTTTTAATGTGGGTGGCGTGTGCTTCCTGGTGACTCTCAGCACAGAAGCTGCTCTATCCCTCCAAAATCTGCTTGGACAAGTGGTTTCCCTGGTCGCTGAGGCTGGCCTGAGAGTCCACACAGGCTGAGAGCCAGCACAGACCGGAGAGATGTGAGGCTGGTTGGGCTGTCAGGCTGCGGTGGCCAAGAGAATAGGGCAGGATGGGTCAAGTCGCAAAATCAGGGGTCATGTACCAGGGCTGCGTGAGTACCCTTCACTAGACCACATGGTCCGAGCAATGTCTATAGGCAGCAAGGAACCAAGAGACTAGGCAAGGTCACAGAGCAGGAAGGAAACCGAGCCCAGCGTGGGGAGCAGAAGAGACACTGGGAGGCCCAGGGAAGCCAGAAGCACAAATGATAGGGACAATGGGAACAGCAAGTGGCCGTAACAGCAGGAGAAAGATTTATCGAGTATTGAAGGCAGCAGGTTAATAAAATCTTTAACAAGTGAACATGGACTATCAAGGGGGATCAGAGCCACATGTATATGACTAGATGTACGCATATATGTACTTAAAAGAATACACATATGTGTGGGGCGCCTGGGTGGCTCAGTGTCTGCCTTTGGCTCGGGTCATGGTCCCAGGGTCCCGGGATCGAGCCCCGCATCCAGCTTCCTAGTCGGCAGGAAGCCTGCTTCTCCCTCTCCCATTCCCCCTGCTTGTGTTCCCTCTCTCACTGTGTCTCTCTCTGTCAAATAAATAAATATATAAAAAAAAGAACACATATATGTGTGAAAAGTGGGCAGAAATGAGCAACAGGTGATGCTAATATGCACTGGAAGCCGAAACCAGGACACAATGCAAAACGCCTAGTACAGTGCCTGACACATAGTAGGTAATCAATAATACGTCTTTTCCTTCCACTGCTAAACCCACAGAAGGGCTACCGCTCCCCCCAGCTTCCTAGAGAACGGATTGATACTGTGAAGCAGCTTACGTGTTACTAGGGTAAGTCTAATTGCTTCGGAAAGCTGTTCACCGTGTACCCCGCTGTGCTATTTAGCTATTCTAAATGAATTTCTTTGTGTCCAAATGAAAAAGCAAGACCTTCTCAGGCTGCACTGTACAATCGGCCGCGATTCGGAGTTGGAACGCAGCCTCTCTGCTCTCCTTTCCAGTCCCTAAAACGTGTGCCTGGCACACGAGGAGGAGGGCCCCTGAAGGAGGCACTGGCCCACACGGCATTATACTTGGGCTTCTCAGTAAGGGCTGCGACAGCCCGGGGCAGTGGCCCCTGGAGCCAGTCCCTAGGCGCACCCTCCCCGGTGGGGCCGGGGATAGGTGGCTCTGCCCGACCCCTGCCCGCCGCTCCCACGGAGAGACCGGGCTTCCCAGGCGAGCGCTGCCCCCGCCGAGCGCGGCTAAAGTCAGGCTACCACTCACCTCGCAACCGGGGCGCCAGACCTGCTGTGGGCAGGGCGTTCTCCCCCGCGCACGATGACATCATGTGTTTGGGGCTGAGTCGCTCTATAAGAGCGGCCCGCCACGAGCCGGGCGCCCGAAGAGCAGACGCGCTCGCACGGCCGGGCTGCGCGCACGCGGTCCCCAGCACCCGAGCAGAGGCAGCGGGAGCCCCGGCCCACCCCCCACGGCGTCCCCGCCCCGCCCCCGCCGCGCGCGATGCCCCGCAGCCTGCACGCCGCCGCCGTTCTCCTGCTCCTCTGCTTAAAGGAACAGCCGGCCCGCCCAGCCCCGCTCAACGGTAAAGTGTGCGCCCGCTCTTTCCTCAGTCCCCAGCGCGCGGCCACACCTGGCCGGAGGATTGCCCGCGGGGCTCGCTAATGCTAAAGCAAAGTCCTTTTGGCGGGGAGCATACTCTCCAATGGCGTATTTTTAGACACTTTGGAAAACGCGTTTTGGAAAATTCTTTTGCCTTTGGAATGCACGACCTGTTGCGGTGGGGGGAAGCACGTTGTCTTTGGATTAAAACCTGCTCGTGTGTTCTTGGAGCTCTCCCCAGCTCTGGAGGGGTGGGTGGCTTGGGAACTTGCTAAAGGAGTGGGGGAGGGGGGGAGAAGGGGAACCAGGATTTAAAGTGCTGTGCCGCGATCCGCGATCCGCGATCCACGTGCTGATGGTCGAGGAGAGAACGTGGCGTCAGAGCCGCGTCGGAGCCGCCTGGTTAGCAGGAAGGGTTTTGCAATGCCCCAGCTGCAGCACCTTCCCGCAGTGGTGGATGCTTTCCTTTGGAGGAGAGACTCTTTACCATTAAGTTTTACCTCCAAGTCAAAGGGATGATGCATCCCATTCTTAATCATTGTTTTTCTCCAGAAGGGCTCTACTATCTTGAACGTGTGTGTGCACTCGGAAGAGCATACACACCTCACTTCTGAGTGTAATTAGGGCTCTTAACCCCAAAAGGCTGGAGGCTGAGGGTGCCCGAGGGGATGGCAGGAGGAAGTGTGGGGACCTTGGGTCAAGGCAGTGAGTTTGGGTGCGCAGCCAAGGTCAAGGTTAGTTAATCCTTAGGAACAGCAAGAGGATGCCAAGCTCTTGCCTGCCTCTCCAGCTGCTGGCTGAGCACTTTTCTGGGGGTAGATAGTGAGTTTTGTAGAAACTTCCCTGGTAACTGATGGTAGCTCCTGCCCTTGACAGAGTGTGTTCCAAGTTGTAGGGACATTTGTAGGTGCTATCGGTCCTGGACCGAGGTTGGGCTGAAACATTTGTAGGAGGGCTGAAAGTGATTATGATGGCTGGAAATGGATCCTCACTTGATAGACAGTGGTGTGGGAAATTGATCCTGCTCTGTAGCGTGAAGACTCAGAGCCTCCTTCTCTGCTGGAGGTCACACTGTGTCCGTGGGGCTGGGTAGGAGGGAGGTGGGGGGGCTGGCCTGTCACAGCGTTGGGGTTGTTCTTAACTCAAATCCGCTGGCTGGCAAGATATGCTTGGTATTATTTCCGTCGTCTGGTCCGGAAGAGATAGAAGGTTGGGGACGCCCGGGTGGCTCAGTTTGTTAAGCACCGGACTCTTGATGTCAGCGCAGGTCTTGATCTCCGAGGCATGAGTTCAAGCCCCACGTTGGGCTCCATGCCGGGCATGAAGCCTATTTAAAAAAGAAAAAAAAAAGGTTGGTGGAAGAAAGGGATTATATGAAAGTGGAAATTAATTTTTAAAACTGCAGACTTTGACACGTATTCCCCTTTCCAGAAAGCTGCACTGGGACCTGAAGTTTTGTGAGAAATCTCCCTTGTAGTTCCAAGCTGCTCTGAGACAGGAGAGAAACAGCCATTCGTTGGCTCTTTCTAGAAAGCCTGTTACTCCCCTCACTCTGGGGCAGCCCCTCCTCCCTTCCCTCCCTTCCCTCTCTTCCCCTGCCATCCCTGCCCTCCCCTCCCTCTCCTCCCTCTCTCCCTAGCCCCTGCCCTTGCCCCTGCCCTTGCCCCTGCCCGTTTGCCTCCCTTTCCCTCCTCCTTTGCCTTCCTTCCCTCCCCATTTTCCAAGTCGGGGTGGGGGAGCTTGCAGTCAAAAAGCCACTTTCACCCCTACACTGAGTAGCCAGCCTGCCTACCCCTAGAGTCTTTATTCTGTTATTCCTCATGTAGGTTTCTTGACTGTTTGACTGCCTCAGGGGACAAGGTCAAAGCCAAAGTCACCGAGATGTAGAGTCCCACAGGGTGGGGAGTGGAGGGGGGTTAAACTAGGTAATGAGGTCAAAGTGTGGTCTACCCTCCTCCCAGAACATTTAAACTCCCAGCATTTGGCACTGGTGAATGTCTGGGGGAAAAAATGACTGGAGAGGGGAAGGAGGGAGCATAAAAAGGTGAGGTCCCGTGTCTTCTGGAGAAAACCTTGGAATGCTGAGTTGCTGTGGGGAACATTTCAATGATTTCTCGCAGAGTCTGCTCTGCCTGAACCTGGTATGGAGAGCTGGGCGGTCTCTGGCAGTGACGGTTACTCAGAGAAGGTTCTAGCACCCAGACCAGGAAGCAGGCGGGGCCCTGAACCCCTGGCCTGGATCCTCATCTGTCCCACTTCCTCAGTGAGCACGCTGGGCATTCTCCCCGCCCGGTACAGAATAGGCCTGCAGGTTCTAACAGGCAGCAAGCTGGGCCTCCCAAGTCTCCCACACAGAAGAGGAAAAACGTAGGTTTTTTTTTTTTTTTTTTTCTCCTGGAAAAGCCTGCTCCCTGAGGAAGCCTCCAAAGTGTAGGTAGCCTCAGCGGTCTTGGCCCGGCCCGCCTCCTGCGTGTGGCCAGGACTCCTGCCCTAGCCAGGGGGTGGGGAACCATGAGGTGCCACTTCCAAATAACACACACACCCCTTCAGAAAGTCTTCCTCGGGTCAGTTCTGAGCCAAAGAGGGACCAGGGGCCCTGACCTTCATCAGATGACCCCCCCCCAACATTCAGACCACCCTCCCCTTCCTTCTACGGTGCTGCTTCTCCCCAGCTTCCAGCTCCTGAGTCCTTCCGGAGGAAGGACTGTCATTTATACCCAAAGCACCAGGGCTTGAGGACCAGGCGGGCTTGCCCGGAGAGAGGAAGGCAGGGAAGTTCACTCTGGATGCTGCTGCGTTTTAAGAACGCGTCCCTGGTCCTTTGTCACCACCGGAGGTCTCAGTCCCCCATGTCCACTCTGTGACACTGGCCCCTGAGCTGCCCGCAGTATTCCCCGGCTGCCTCATCTGAGGATAAGCCTCGACCAAAGGGAAGACCTCAGCTTAGCAAGCTTTGGTGGGGAGAGCTCAGAAGAGGTGGAATATGAAAGGCTATGATTTGATTTGGGGGCAGGTGCAATTAAACTCCTGGCCAAGGCAGGACTGCTCGGGGGCTGCAGCTGTTTTTCTGGTGGTCTCCAGGATCACGGAGAGTGGCCGTCTCTCCGGGTTAGCTGTGAGGATGAACTCCCCCATTACTCGTGAATGTCTGTGTGCTGAGCTTCCAAGTGCTCTGCCCAGCTATGTGGCAATGATCTGGTTTCTTCTAGCTCTGAAATCCAGAACTGTATTTCAATAGCGAAGTCCTCAGACAAAACCCCTGAAGAGGTTTGAGGTCTCCTGTAGCTTGGTTCCAAGGCAAAGCCTTCTTTGTTCCTTTCCGGCGTCGTTTCGGGAAATGGGCTGGCAGTCCACTTGGGGCTTATGCACAGGTTTGGTTCTGCATGTCTTCATCTAATTGCTAATTCCCGGGAGGTTAATCTTGGGACTCTTAACTCCTGTGGGGTCCATAGCAGGTTTTAGGGGTTCTGCGGACCTCCTGAAATTAATTGTACATGAAATTTTGTGTGTCCAAGCCTATGGACATTTTTATGGGGGAAGAGGTCTGTAAGTACTCATTAGATATTCTAAGGTGTCTGAACACCAGCCCCCCTCGCTCCTTGCGATTGAGAAGGAGGAGACGCGAAGATTTCCCAAGTTTGCTGGAGGTACTGGTAAATGTGCAGAGACACTTCTTAGCGGGCACTGATCTTCCACTTCATGCAGGGGACTGTCCTTGCCTTACATATAAAACACGGTGATAGTGCTCGCTTCAGCAGCACATATACTAAAATTGGAATGATACAGAGAAGATTAGCATGGCCCCTGCGCAAGGATGACACGCAAATTCGTGAAGCGTTCCATATTTTTGCACAAACAATGAATCATGGAACACTACATCAAAAACTAATGATGTAATGTATGGTGATTAACATAACAATAAAAACCTATTAAATAAATAAATAAACTATTTGAAACTTAAAAAAAAAAAGGTGATAGGCTGCAGGTGGTGCACAGAGACCTCACCGTTTCCCTTCCAGCGAGGGAGGATAGTAATAACACCTCAACCTAAACGAATCATGGAGGAACCCTACAGGCCTATTTTACTGAGACATGGAGATACTACCCAGATTGAAAAAGGCTTCAAAGTGCTCTAGGGACCAGGAAAATAGCGAGGGGTGTCAGGGGACTGATATTTTATTAAAAAGCCTTGTAGAACCATCTGACACTTTAAACCATGCACAAGTGTAACTAGATACAATTACCATTTTGAAAATTAAAAACCAAATTCATTAAAAGCACCGAGGCAAAGAAAGGAACCAGAACAACAACAGAAAACCATGGGATTAAACTAACTTTTCAAAAGCAGCAAAATTCTCTTTTTGCTTTTAAAAATCACGTTGCCTTGAGTAGGAAATGCTCGGTTGCTGTGAAGGGTGCAGGTTGCTGGTCAGTTAGGTTTTGCTGCAAATCAGCTCCCTAGAGAGAAAGGGGCCGTGAGAGCCTTCCTCTTCTGACTGTACCCTGTGGGCCCCGCATCGTGGTGGCATCAAGAGAAGCCAGGAGAGGTGCTTGGGATGTGAAGAGTCCCTCTCCCTGGATATGTCCCCTGAGACACCCCGAGTCTCAGGGTCTCTGCGTCCTTCTGGAGATGAAGAGGGAGATGTCAGGCAGGGTACCAAGCATGCAACTCTGTAACATTTCTTTTTCCAAAATATGTTTGGATGTAGGAACAGGGGACTTCTTTTTTTTTTTTTTAGAGATTTTATTTATTTATTTGAGAGAGAGAGAGAATGAGAGATAGAAAGCACGAGAGGGAAGAGGGTCAAAGGGAGAAGCAGACTCCCCGCCGAGCAGGGAGCCCGATGTGGGACTCGATCCCGGGACTCCAGGATCATGACCTGAGCCGAAGGCAGTCGCTTAACCAACTGAGCCACCCAGGCGCCCGGAACAGGGGACTTCTATGCGTGAAGGGTGTGCAGTGGGAGGTGGTAGGTGACTTTCATGATACTCCTGGCAGAACCTCTCCTACACCTTCTCTGCCCCCCCGGAATTCTAACTTGGGGGAGGGTGGCAGCTTCCTCAAAGAAAAACTTTCCTTTTGAGGGGAGTTTTCTCCTCTTTACGGACTGATGTGAACGGCTCTCCAGGGTGTGTTGTTCGATGGGAAAAAGCAAGAGGCTTACCAGTGTTTCCAGTATGCTGACATCTGTGTTGCAGAAATGGGGAGAAAGAATGTGATTACATATGCGCGTGTAGTCACTGTGAAAATGTTCCCAGCAGCTCATAAAACTGGCTTTCTCTCTCCTGGAAGCAGGGAGATCAGGTGGGAGGAAGAGCTTTCATTGTGTACCCTTTGGGAGCTTTTGGGTTTTGAGCCTTGTGAATTTCTTTTACGTTTTCAGGGAATAAAATTTGGCTTCTCTAGGATCTGGGAGGCTTCTAATGAAGAAGCCCCCTCCGTGGTCCGTGAGCCCCTGCACCCACTCGTGGCCCCGCGCCTCCCCCTGGCGGCTCTGGGAAGCGGCCGACCTGACACAGACTCTTGACAACGTCCGTCTGGGCATCTGCCTCCTTTCCGACCGCACCCATTTCAAAATCCAATCTGTAGCGTTTTCTCTCACTTGCTTAAGCTCCGTTGTACTTACTTTGCTTTGTTTTGTTCTTTGCAGGATCCAAGTGGAGCTATTTTGGTAAGTAGAGATCTTAAATACTTAAAAAAAAAAAGATTTATTTACATTAGAGAGAGTGAGCGCGGGGGGCGGTGGAGGGGCAGAGAGAGAGAGAGCGAGAGAGAGAGAATCTCAAGCAGGCCCCGTGCCGAGCACGTGCCCGACATGGGGCTCCATCTCATGACCCTGAGATCATGACTTGAGCCGAAATCAGGAGTTGGATGCCTAACCCACTGTGCCACCCAGGCGCCCCTTAAATACTTTTTGGAGGAGATGGCTGTGTTTAATGAAAAAGCCAGAAACGCCATGATCTGTGGAGGTTATTGTGGGGGTTGAGAAGAGGGACTCTGGTATCATTAAGAGAGCACAAAGGCTTCTCTAAAGAACCGTTCCACACGGGCTGCGTGCCGTACTTTCCCCAAGTGCAGGAGCCTGCTCTGTGCACTCAAACTGTGAATCCTAGCATTCCAGTTTCCAGATTCCTGCAAGGATTTCTGCCAGACCTCCCAGGTGAATGTGCCTCGGTTACCTCTAGGCTGCAAGGGCCTTGGGTGGGAGAGAGACCTTCTCCTCCGTGGGGCATTTATTCTACAATAAATAAAGCATAAAGGGCTCCTTTCTGGAAGTTTGGCTCAGACCCCAGAATTTAAGCTGTCCGCGTGTCTAGAATTAACGTCTTGTTGCCATGTTCATAAGCATGCGGAGCGCAGAGGTGGTGATGGCCCGTCCTTGCTGAGAGAGGGATGCCTGCCCCGTGCGTGAGGAGGGAGAGGGATGTGAAGTATGCAGCGGGGTTTCCGGGGGATTGGGTCAAGAATGACATTCGCCATCTCTGGCAGGCCTGCAAGATAAGCAGCTTGAAATCAGCTCAGCCGGTGCGTGAAATGGACTGGAAATTTGGCCATCAGCTGGGGCGGGAACCGGAGGCGGGGTGCCAGGTCCACAGACAAGTGCGAGAATGTTAATAATGTCTTGGGAGGGACAGTCAGGAGCACTGGGCAAGATAGATTGTTCTGGAAAGAGGAGGCTGGAACTGGCCTCCCTGGCACGGGAGGAGCGGTGACAGGCAGAGGATTTGATCACCACAGCGGAAGCAGAATCCACAGCAAGGTCTGACTTATATTTGCAAAAGCTAGCCTTTAGCTGTTTGTTAGCCTGGGAGGCATAGAAAAGTCACTGAGTTAATTCGCCAACCCCCTATAGGCCAAGGTCTCCTCGGCTCCGGCGTTGCATGGCTCCATCATTATGTACTTCCTTGTGCAGGACATGCTGCTAAGTGGGTGGGTAATTAGAAGGGGAGGCTGTGCTCTGTAGCTAGGAGTACTTACAGCTCCCAATTCAAAGCTGAATAGAGAATGGCAGATAATGAATAAATGGTTCAGTGCTCTGAGGGTTCCGAGGAAAGAGAATGCTAGGGCTGGATGGTCAAGGAAGGTGCCCTGGAGGGGGAGGGCTTTCACCTGGACCTTTGAGGATGGAGAGGATTCAGTGGGGGTAGGAAGGACGTGCTGTTGGCTGAGATGATGATGGCGTCACATGAGCGGAGGCAAGAGACAACAAGATGGTATCGGGGGGGGGGGCAACATCTACAGAAAGAGTTCCAGGGGAGTGATTGACTCTTAAGGTCAGAAACAGAGGTTGGATCGAACAGGGGAGACATGGAGGGGCAGGCTGGACCCTTCTCATTTTGTCCCAGAGATGGAGGGGCAGGGCAGGGAGTAATCTGTGTTTTAGGGAGAGTCACGTGGTGGTGGGGGCTGGAGAGGGAAGGATGGTGGGGGGCAGGAAGGTGTCTGGCCTTTGCAGAATTCCTATCTGAGGTCTTCACATCCAGCTTGGGGATGGCAGTCAGAGGGAAGGAGAGGCCAGGCAAATGACTCGACCCAGGAAGACTGAGTGGAGTCTGGGCCTCAGGGCTCCTCGGGAGGGAGGCTCGCCGTGTGGCGGGTGACGGGAGCAGCGCAGAAGCATTCCTTCTGGACCGGCAGCTCTGGTCGGCCCTCCCTCCCCCTTGCCCTGCACCCCCCGAGCAGTGCTCTGCTGAGGAAGCAGAGGGCAGAGTCTAATGGTGCGTGACATGCATGGGCTGAGCGCAGAGACAAATCTGGCTTTTGATGAGTGCACGGAGTGCACATGATGTGGGGTCAGCCGTCGGTGGGGGCCGGTGAAGGAGGACGGATGCAGGCTGGCCAGGGAGGCGGACAGGTCCAGGCCGGCAAGCTGGCACCCGGGGAAACAGAGGGCCTGGCATGGGTGCTACGGGGGAAATGGTTTCCAAGCCATGAGGGCCGCACTGAATGAGGCAAGTCCAACCAAATGCCACGTGTTGGTTTTCCCAGGGTGCAGACCTCAGCTACTTTGCACGTAGATGCTGCTGAGTCATCCTGTCCAGGGGCCTCCCGCGGCCTGGAACACGGGGTAGGACTTCTAGAAGCACATGGAAAGAGAACCTTACTCCCATTCCCCCTCCACAAAGTCACCAGGCTGACCTCCCTGCTGGCCCGCCTGGAGACAGGAGGACCATCTGATGGCCAAGCTGGGGCCCGCCCTGCCCCTGGGCACCCCTCCGGGGCGGCTGAAGCAGCAGCTGGAGGTGTGCTGGGTTTAGAATTGCTGAGCAGGCCCTCCCCACCGGAAATCAGTCCCAGATCAATCCTGCTGAGCCCCAGCAGCTCTGCCAACTCTGGGGGGGGGGGGGCAGTTGCAAGTCAGGTTGCCCTGTGAGGGAATGATCAACTCCAGCTTGCTGAAGTGAATCTCTGCCGTTAGAAGTCAAGGTAGCAGGGGCCCTCGTGCAGTGGGGGTGGTGGGAAGGAGGTGCGAGGTGGGGGCTGGTCATGTTTAGTTCCTTGGTATGGGGGCTGTGTTCAGATGGTGAGGAGTCCTCAAGCCGTTCACTGATGATGCACTGTTCTGTATGAGTATTATATGCAATAAAAGAGTTAACAAATTCCAGCTGGCTGGGAGAGTCATCCTTACCCTGGAAGTTTTTTGGCCCTTTCCCACAAAAACCAAAAAAAAAAAAAAAACCAAAAAAAAAAACCCCCTTAGGATGTTCAAAACAACAGAGCAACCAAAAAGAATGACTGTGTTGGAACCAAGGACCTAAGAGCACGTCATGTGAGCAGAGAGTGGGCCCCGCGTTCCAGCCCTGAGCACACTTGACATTGCTTTGGTGCTCCCCAGATGTGAGCTCGCTCAGACACAGAAACCACTGTCTGCTAGAGATCTGGGAGGAATCAGATAAGCCTTCCAAAGGAGATGGGATATAAGCTCCTGGAGGGGGTGGGCGTCCCACCTCTCCTGGAGTCCAGGGCCCTCCGGGCCAGCCCCTCCATCCTGGTGCAGGGAACTCTGGTGTGATGGTGGCTTGGCCTGGGGATGCAGGAGAGTAGCCTGCAGCCCCTCACCGACCCTCCTGCCCAGCTTCTCTGCGGTGGCTGGAAGGCCCTGGGCTCTGGCAAGACTCCCTGGGATCCAGGCACTGCCCCTGCATTCCTCGGGCTGCTCTTTCTCCTTCGTCCCAGACCAGAGATTCCCTGGCTTAAAGGATTTCCTTTGAGAATCAGGAAAGGATCCTCCACAGGGCCAAAACTCTGGTTCTCTAGGCTCCTACCTCCACCCACCTTCGGTCCCGAATCTGCTGGAATATTAGGTTGCCGCAAACTTTCCCTGGCACGTGACGTCCTTCCCAGACCCTTCCCAAACCCTTCCCAAGAATGAGATGCAAAACGTGGAGGGAGGCTGGGGGAAAATCTCTCTACTTTCTATTCTGTAGTTGGGATAAAGGCGCCGTGTGGCCTCAGACTCAAATGCAGCCTGGAGAGCAGACTCAGAGCTCAAGGGCCAACTTAAGACTGCAGTGAGGGAACACGTGCAATTAAAAGGCTGATTTAATTACGAACGGGTCTTGTCTTTACCCAAGGTAGAGAGGCTCAGCCAACTCCAAACACCCCCATCACCTCTCCCCCAGTCCAGCTGCCGTCCTGAGGATGAATGGGAAGAGGCACAAAGCACTCTTGAGGAGAGAGGGGAGAAAAGCCTAGAACATGTTTTTCATACCAGGGAGCTGAATCCCTCTCCCTGTGCGTTGGGGATTTCTCTTGAGGCCAGCAATCCAACCCACTATCATTTCTGCAATCTGTGCTGTAGTTCCAGTTACTTCTAATTGAAGTTGTGACATCCAGGGTCTGTTAGGATGTGGTATGGTCCACCCACTCAGAATTATTTCTCAGCTCTTCTGAGTTGCAGAATTGAGGTTTGTGTGTTCTGGGGGCATCTTGGCCTGCATTTCAGTGTTTGCAGCCAGGTTTACCAGCTGGGTGAAACAATAAGGAAGCTAGGGTTAGTTCCTAGAGGCAGGTGTAGCGGCAGGGGAGTGGGGGGAGGCAGAAGTGGAGAGTGTGCAGAGCCCAGAACCAGGCGGACCTCCACGAATATCTGTGAGGCCACTTTCTGGCTGAATGGCCTTAGGGGAGAGTAACTTAACTTCTCCCCTCTGAACTTCAGTGTTTCCAACTACCAAATGGGTGTAAGAGCATCTACCTCCGTGGTTCTCAGAATACGGGCCTCGGATCAGCAGCGTCAGGGTCCCCTGGGACTCAGGATGCCCTAGAAGTGAAACAGGTGGAAGGAGGCTGGGAAGAAAAGCCCAATCCCTTCACTCCCGTTCTTTAGCAGTCACAAAGGCACCCTGTTTCCTCTTGTCAGAAATGCAAATTCTTGGGCCCATCCCAGATCTAACTACAAATCAAAAGCTCTGGGGCTGCCGCCCCCCCACCCCCCCAGCCTACCAGGGGGTTCTGATGTTCCTGGCTGAGAAGCACTGGCCCGCTTCAGGGAGGATTAAGTAAGACAATGTAGGCACAGAGCAAGCACCTAATACAGCTAATCACCGTTTTCTTTCCCTCCACCTCCCAGGGTGGGATTATATTAGTTAATATGTGGGAAAATGCCTTGTAAACTCTGTAGCACCGAACAATGTGAGCTCTGTTAGAAAGGGCTGGCTTCTTCATGCTTTG